TGGTACGGATAGGCAGCACTGATATACAACAATGATAGGCACTGATAGGCGACACTGACTGGCAGCACTGATGGGTGGCACTGACTGGCAGCACTGATGAGCACTGGTGGGTGGCACTACTAGGCACTGGTGGGTGGCAGTGCTGGGCACTGATCATCAGTGCCCTGATGATCGGTGCCGATCCGTCCTCTGATAATTGCTGTCTGTGACAGCGTGAGGAAAGTGCAGCCGATAACCGGCAACTGCATTTACCGGTGATCTGCTGTGTCATTGGACAGAGCTGATCACGTGGTAAAAGGCTGCTGTGATTGGCCTTTTACCACATCATGTGATCAGCTGTTTCTATTGGACACAGCGATCGCAGAGATCGCCTGGTGCGCACCCCTCGAAGGCGCGCTCTGGGAGGACATCATAGGACACCCTCCCAGAACTGGACAACCGCGATGTAGCCATCATTCGGCTATAGTGCGGTTGGCAAGTGGTAAAATAACAAACATGTTGTACTTACCTACTCTGTGTAATGGTTTTGCACAGAGCAGCCCTGATCCTCTTTTTCATGGGTGCCCTGCTGGCACGCCTGGACCCAACCCCGGGGGTACTTGTGCATGCTCGCCTTCCTGAACTGGCCCTGTATGTCCATAAGACATACAGAGCATGGCTCGTTCCCACCCCCCGCTCCCTCCTCAATGGATCCCACTGCTGTGTCTCAGCCAATGAGAGAGAGACCTAGGAGAGCCAAGGCTCTCGTGCAGATCACTGGATCAAGATGGGGCTCAGGTAAGTATTAGAGGGGGCTGAAGGGGGAGCTGTACACAGGTTTTTTACTGTATGACGGTAACAAACCTTCAGACTTTACAATCACTTTAGGAGTCAGTACCACAGGTGGTGCTAAATGAAGAACTTTTTTTTACCCATTTTTCTCTTGCGTCCCTACCGAGTAGTGATGAGCTACCTCTGTCCATCAGAGCCTCTCCTCATGATCTACCCCAATGGAGAGTGGGGTAATGAAGGGCTTACTAAAAATGTCATGTCAGAGCCAAGCACGGACTGAAAAGCTCTATTGCAGGTAGCACCCTGTACCCTTCTATCCCTTTGGCTACTTCACTGTATTTTGGCACAAGTCCTCAGCAGTAGTGATGAGCCAAGGTTCACGGGAAGCTATCACATGATAGGCTTCCGGCCCAATCAGCTGCGGCCAGGAAATTCCCCACAATGCAGCTGCACATAACAAAGGCCATATTTGGAGAGTAACACCAGGCAGCAATCCGCTCCCTTGTTATGTATGGCCGCAGGACAAGTAAATTCCAGCATGCAACTGATTGGGCCAGCAGCCCGCTATCATGTGATGACTTAATATGAACTTTAGCTCACCACCACATCTGAGCCAAAATCCGGTGGTGTAGTATATAATGTGGAAACATAGTGTGAATTAAAAAGATGTCCAGTATTTGTTGCTGCTGAGTTAAATTTTGGAACGGAGGAGGGGGGTGTTGGAAATCCTCTTTAAATACAGCCATGATCATATGAACACATTATCAAAGGAAAAAATATGGCCTTGCATAGGAACATCATCCCCATAGGAAGAGCTTGCTTAACATTCACTAGTCGTTGCCTAAGCGGTCTCCTTGCTTTAGGGACACAGTCACTTTGGTGCAGCATACAAAAAATGGAATTGCAACCATTTATGTGGTCTTACCCAAGTCACATTTTGGGTTTTGAGTTTGAATCTGATCAGATATTAGTGTTCATCATTAAAAGACCACGTAAATCTGCTGACAAATCAAAAACTCATACAGTAGGTATAGAAAAGAATCCTCCCCCCCTTTCAAAATAATCACATATTTGTTGCTTTGCAGCCTGAAATGAAGACAGATGCATTTTTTGTTTTATTCAGCTGTATTTACTCAGTGCAGCCTATAACATCCAAGTGAAGGATAAAGCACCAACATGTCAGAAAAAAAAATAAAAAAATTCAAAAACAGAATCACTGAAATTTAAAAAGGATCACCCCCCCTTGTGTCAGTATTTTGTTGAACTACCGTTTGCTTTAATCCAGCCTTCAGTCTGTTGGGATAGGCCTCTAACTTTGCACATCTACACTTTGCCATATTTGCCCGCTCTTCTTTGCAGAACGGCTCAAGTTCAGTTAAATTTGATGGTGACCATTTGTGGACTGCAGTCTTCAAGTCATTCCACAGACTTTCAATGGGGTTTAGGTCTGGGCTCTGACTAGGCCATGCAAGGACATTTACCTTTTTCTCCTCAAACCATTGTGCGCTCATTTTTGCTGTGTGCTTTGGGTCATTGTCATGTTGGAAGGTAAACCTTCTCATTGACAACTCTCTGGTAGAGGGCAGCAGATTTTCCTCAAGAATCTGCCCTTTTTTGCCCCAACCATTTTTCCTTCTATCCTGACAAGTGCTGCAGGGAAACCCCCCATAACATCCCCTCATGTCTCCTAGATTGTAAGCTCGAAAGAGCAGGGCCCTCGATCCCCTCATGTTTTGCATTGTATTGGTATTGTTCTGTCACATGTTCTGTCCCCCTTTGTAATGTACAGCGCTGAGCGAACCATTGGCGCTTTATAAATACTGTATAATAATAATAATAACAACAAGATATTCCCCCCTCCATGCTTTACTGCAGGAATGGTGGGATTTGGATGGTGAGCTGGATTGGATGTCTGAAAAACATATCATTTAGTGTTGAGGACAAATCATTCAATTTTAGTCTCGTTTGACCAGAACACCTTCTTCCATGTGACCTCACAATCTTCAAGGTGCGTTTTGGCAAAGCTCAGTGGTGACTGCATGTGGACTTTCTTGAGGAGCGACTTTTTTCTTGCAACCCTCCAATACAGGCCACATTTGTGGAGGATTTGTGATATTGTCACATTCAAACAATGACCACTCTTTGTCCTCAATTCCTGACACAGCTTCATAGTTGCTGTAAGCCTCCTGGTAGCCTGTCTGGCCAGTTTCCTCCTGGCCCTTTCATCCAGCTTGGAGCAATGTCCAGATCCAGGGAAGGTGTGTGTTGTACCAAATACCTTCCACTTCTTAATAATAGACTTCACTTTGCTTCTAAGTATTGATAAAGCATTTGACATTTTTTTTGTATCCATTTCCTGACTTGTGCTTGTCCACAACCTTACCCAGGAGATCTTTTGACAGTGCCTTGCCACCTATAGTGAATTGTTTGCTTTAGTTGCACTACCAGGGACTGAAATGCTCCAGGAAAGCTCTTGTCAGGGATTCAGGTATGACCAGAGATGTGAGGACTGACACAGGGAAACAGCAGGCTTCAGAAATGATTAAATAATAATATTTATTATGAGCTGCACAAAATAAATAAACACAGTGAAAAACAAAACAAACCTTAAACTAATAGGTACAGGTGCAGTCGGGGCTGAAGAGGTGGAGTGGTCAGGCAGGCCGGGTCAGGAACAATCAGGCAGAAAGGTTCAAAGGGAGCAGGCAGAAGAATGGTCAGGAATAGCCGGGTCAGTGCAGGCGGAGTTCTATCAGAGTCAGAGTTTCACGGTGTAAGGTCAGGTTCAGAGACCAATTGCTACAGCAGTTGTAAGGCTTCCCTGAAACCAGCAGGGTTGGTACACCCAGTGGATAACCCTGGGAATGACGCAGGCTCACCTGAGGTGCGGGGTCTAAGTATTAACCGGTTTTCCCTAGAGCTCCTAATGGTGGAGATGGAATTGGCTGCGTGTTAATACCAGGTCGCAGATCTCAGGCTCACCCCACCAGGGAATGAACCAGCTGGAAACCGATAGTGGATCAAACAGTTTAGGGATCAGACAGTAGCAGAGTCAGTCACAAGCCAAGGGTCGGTCACAAGTGGTAGCAGATGAGGATGAGACAAAATCGTAGTCAGTAACAAAGCCAAAGGTCGGTAGCGAAGATGTAGACGGCACCAGGACAGAGAAGCGGGATATTGGCTGGAAGGCACAATAATCTGGCAAGGAGGAAGTGCAAGGACATGGCCTTTATAGGAAGTTCATGGGAGGAGCAAGGAATTCAAGGTTCAAGACAAGCAGGGCCAAGGCAGGATCATCCAAAGAATTGTCAAGGGAGCTGTCCAGCATTCCAGGTGGCTCAGTGAGAAGAAACATTGCCTCCCACCGTAGAAGGCCCAGGTTCAAGTCCAGGCCCTGACACAGAGTCAGAGTCAAGTAGGAGAGTCGAGCAGGCAGGAGACAGGATACAGGAAACAGGGCACATGGGAAAAAAACACCAAGGCACTGACTGCAGGTCTGGCCATTCCTTAAGTACACCTCCTGCAATCAGCCTCAGGTGATGGCTGACTGCAGGAGTGAGCTTCTGGTTGTTGAGAGCACCCGCTGGCCAGCCCTGGTACTGCAGCCCACAAGGCAGGTGAGTCCCACCACCATTGGCGAGTCCATTCCTGACAGCTCTTTTCATGCTGAACTAATCAAAAATGACTACAGCTGATCACAGTTGAAAGTCAAATGGCTTTGTGTGCCATTGAGAAGGTGATTAGCTACACCTGAATGAGTTTACAAGTCATTTTTAGGAGGGGGGGGGAGCGGTAGATCCTTTTTCCAACTCAGTGATTCTGTTTTTGAATTAAAAAAAATTCTGACATGTTGGTATTATATCTTGCACTTTGATGTTATAAGTTGTATTGAGTAATTACAGCTGGATAAAACAAAAATTTGTGTCTGTCTTCATATCAGACTGCAAAGCAACAACATGTGATTATTTTAAAGGTGGGGGGGGGGGGGGGGCATTCTTTTTCATACAGACTGTAAATGCAAAAGTCCAGCAACTCTTGGAATTTCCTCCATGTCCAGTAAAAGCCCATCATTTTGGTAACCTTCTCACAATTTAGTTAATAATGGCTTTCCAAAACACGGGATTTACAAAACTATGTAACTGCGTAACCTTGATGCAACTTGAAAAACTACAACAGAAGCAGTAAAAAAAAATAAAAACTTTATACTTTTTTTTTCGTGCAATACCTACCAGTGTGGTTAATGAGTTTCTCTTCATGTAAAGCCTCTCAAGATACTGAAGCCCTTCATCCTTCAGCAGCTCCAGAGGAAAATGGTTTAGGTTTCGATAATTTAAGAAGAGATTTTTGTGCCTTTCCAACTTGGCCACAATGATGGTCTGGCAGAGTTCAGAAGCCATATTTGGCTGGGGCCCATCCACCTTGACGCACAGGTTGTCAACATCTCAAATCATCTGTAAAATCAAAAGACAAAACAGAAATAAGACTGGTATAAATGGTATATTCACAAAATATTTGAACTTTCTACTGTTGTTTCACTCTACTGTAGAGATTGTTAACTTGGGTTCCTCCAGGGGTTGCTAGAGGAAACTCTGCTTTTATAGGCATTTGAGCTTTTTTTTTTCTCTGCCTCTAAACTCCCCTCCATGTCTATGCACACGATAGACCAGGGTTTCTCAATCGGGGTTCCTTGGAACCCTAGGGTTCCTCCAGAGGTGGGTCCTTGAGCAATGAGAAGTTTCTGCCTCTCAGATAAGTTCCCACTGACACCATTGATCTTTTTATCAATCTGTAAAGGGGAGAATTCTTCCCAATGAAAAGTGTAAGGAGCATCATTTCCACTGACCATCACACTATGTATCATGAGTTGCAGATGTAGTCATTTTTAGCAGGGGTTTCCCTGAGACCGGAAAGTTATTTCAAGGGTTCCTCTGTGTTGAAAAGGTTCAGAAAGGCTGCTCTTCTGTCTTGCCGTAAAAGAGGGCTGTTTGTGGAACAGGAATTGATCATGTGGATAGCCGCTTCAGTACCGGGCACTTTCACCCCCTTCCTGCCAAGGCCAATATTCAGTTCTGTGACACTTTCAATGACAATTGCGCAGTCATGCAGCACTGTACCCAAACCAAATTTGTATAATTTTTTTTTCACACAAATACAGCTTCCTTTTGGTGGTATTTAACCACTTGCCTACCGGGCACTTTCACCCCATTCCTGCCCAGGCCAATTTTCAGCTTCCAGTGCTGTCGCACTTTGAATGACGATTACGCGGTCATACAACACTGCACCCACACCAAATTTTTATCATTTTTTTGAGACAGATAGAGCTTTCTTTTGTTGGTCTTTACTCACCACTGGGGTTTTTATTTTATGATAAACAAACTAAAAAAGACAACATTTTTTTGGGGAAAAAAAAAGTTTTTCTTAGTTTCTGTTATAAAATGTTGTAAATAAGTCATTTTTCTCCTTCACTGATGTGTGTTGATGAGGCTGCACTGATAGGCAGCACTGATGGGTACTGACAAGCATCATTGATGGGCACTGATATGCGGCACTGACTGGCAATGATAGGTGGCACTGATGTGTACTGATAGACTGCACTGATACGTGGCACTGATGGGCATTGACAGGCATCACTGATGGGTACTGATAGGTGGCACTGACTGTCACTGATAAGTGTCACTGATGGGTACTGATAGACTGCACTGATGAGGAGGTATTGATAGGCATTACTAATAGGCAGTGAAAGGCAGCTTTGATTGGCACTGATATGTAGCATTGATAGGCACTGATAGGGGGCAGTGATGGGCACTGGTAGACTGCACTGGTGAGGAGGCACTGATAGGCGGCACCGATGGGTATCACTAATGGGCAGCGAAAGGCAGCTCTAATGGGCACGGATATGTGGCATTGATGGACACTGATATTTGGCACTGATATCTGGCATTGATGGGCACTGAAAGGCAGCACTCATAATCAGGAAAAAGATGATCAGTGCCCTGATTATCAGTGTAGATGTCCCCTCTGAGGGATGCCGCTTACTGGCTCTCCTCTCCTCATGCGCTGTCAGCATGAGAAGAGGACTGCTGATAACTGGCATTTCCTGTTTACATGTGATCAGCTGTGATTGGACACAGCTGATCACATGGCAGAGCCAACGTCATTGGCTCTATAATGCTCTGCACAGCGCACCACTGATCACCACACCGAGCGCCCCTGGGGAGTGTGCATGCACAGCTAGAGTGGAAGGACATCATCCTCCCTATACGGGGTGGGAAGTGGTTAATAATCACTGGGTTTTTTTTTTTTTTGCTAAATAAATGAACAAATTTTGGGAAAAAAACAAACCTCTATTTCTTTGTTTCTGTTATACAAATTTGCAAATAAATAATCTCTTTAAAATATATAGGCCAAAATGTATTCTGCCACATTTCTTTGGTGAAAATCACTCAAATCAATGTATATTATTTAGTTGGTAGGAAAGGCATAGCTTCTACAAACTATGGTATATATCTGAAAATCGATCAATCCTGATGTACTGACGGCCAATCTCATTTCTTTAGGCCCAAAAATGTCAGGACATCACAATTATCCCTCAAATGACCCCTTTTTGGAAAGTAGACAGTCCAAAATATTTGGTAAGAGGCATGGCGAGTATTTTAGAAGTTCTAGATTTTTTGTCGTAATACTTTGGAAAATGAAGAAATTAAAAATGTTTTTTTCACTTTCTTTTTTAACATACTGTCACCAGTGCAGTACAGTGTCATCATATACCTGGTGTGTCAGTGATCAGAGACACTAACTGATGACAGTATGTTAAAACCTTTTTTTTATTAGTTCTGTGACCAGAGCAATACAGTGTTACCATAGTAGCACTGTACTACTCTGGGCAAGTGATCAGGATTTTTTTCTTTTTCACACATTATGCTTGCTTATACCAGTAAATTCCCCTAAAATAAATAAAAATTTTTACTAAATGAAAACTGTATTCAGTATGTATGGTTGTATTAGCTGTGATTGGCCACAGCTAATCACGTGGTACAGATGGGCTGTGATGGACTGTGACCAATCAGCGTTAGCAACCCAACTGTAAGCAATGAATGGCATGCAAGGAAGCCATTCACTGTTTACAGTTGTCATGAGATCTGCTGTGATTGGTCACAGCGATCACATGGTACTGGCAGCTGGCCGGTACAGTGATCAGTCATCAGCTATGTCCGGTGGACACAGCCAGTGACAGATCATGCCGCAGCATAACCTCACGGCTGCACACACAAGGTGCGTTCTAGGAGGAAGTCATATGATGTCCACCCGGAATGACGAACGTCCCACTGGTTGTCATATTACTGAGTGTTTTTTAAAGTGACTTAAAAACTGCACCAAAAATGCTTCTCAGAGGTGGTTTTGAGGCGCTTTTCATTGATTTCAATGGGAAGAGGCTTTTGTTTTTAAACTCTTTAACCACTTGCCACCCAGAAAATCCCCCCCCCCCCCCCCCTTCCTGACCAGGCCATTTTTTGCATTACAGCACTGTGTTATTTTAACTGACAATTGCGCAGTCATGCAACGCTGTACACAAATGAAATTTTCGTCCTTTTTTTTCCCCCCACAAATGGAGCTTTTCTCGGTAGTATTTGATTGCCTGTGCGTTTTTATATTTTTGCGCTATAAAAAAAATTAAAAAAGGCCGACAATTTTGAGAAAAAAACAATATTTTTTACTTTTTGCTATTAAACATGTCCAGTAAAAAAAATAAATTTAGTCATAAATTTAGGCCAAAATGTATTCTGCTCCATGTCTTTGCTAAAAAAAAAAATCCCAATATGAGTAAATTAATTGGTTTACGTGAAAGTTATAGCGTCTACAAATTGTGGTTTATCTAATGGGATTTTTTTTTTACTAGTAATGGTGGCGATCAGCGACTTATAGCGGGACTGCGGCAGACATTCTGACACTGGGGGGGGAACTGACTTGGTGTCACTGACATCCCTAGTGACACCAATACAGTGATCGGTGCTAATAAAAAGTACTGACACTGTACTAATGGCCCTGGGCAGGAAGGTGTTAACATCTGGAGCGATCAAAGGGTTAACTGTGTGCTGTTTTACTGTAAGCTGTGTGTGTGTTTTCAACTGTAAGCACACTGCTTTGTATGGCTCTGCTATGCAGAGCCATACAAAGCAATGTGCAGGAGCTGACAGGAGAGAACTGTATTGTTTATATACAGTTCTCTCCCCCCTCGGTAATGCTTGGCGATCACCGGGTGCTGCCGAGTAATCACCGGCCGGGACCCAGTGATCAACAGGCGAGGCCTAGCGAATAGCGGCGTGCGTGTGCCCCCTACCCGGAAATGCAAAATCACATACGGTGTATGTATGTGTATATATATATATATATATATAATACATATACACACATAGATGATTTTGGGCACCCCTGCTGCCCTGTAGCAGTATATCTGCTATAGGGCAGTGGGAAAGAGGTTAAAAATGCCCCAAAGATGCTGCAAGCAGGAGTTTTTACACCACCCCACAAGCCCAACGCATCAGTGTGAAAACATACATAGATATTCATTCACATACATAGGGAATCATTTTTCTTGAGCTTTTTAGGTGCTTTTTTTTGTAACACAAAAGCACATCAAAAACTCCTCAGTGTGAAAGCAGCTTAAGGGTCCTTTCACACAGCCATTCCATTTTTTTCTTCAGTTCAGTCACTTTTTTTCAAAGAAAAAACTGATGAGTTTACATCCGTTCTTTTCATTTGCTTACATCCATTTTTTTCATCCGTTTACATCCGTTTTTGGTCCATTTACATCAGTTTTTTGTCCGTTCCGGTTTTCTTCTCTTCCAAAAAACGGATATAAAAAGATGTTCATCCATTTACATCCGCAAGTCCATAGAAATACATGGGGGTCCATTTTTCATCCGTAAACAGACAGATGAAAAACGGACATACGGAACACCAGTGTGAAAGGGGCCTAAGGGGGAGATTTACTAAAAATGGAGCGCTCAGAATCTGGTGCAGCTGTGCACGGGAGCCAAAAAACTTCTAACTTCAGCTTGTTCAATCAAGCTTTGGAAATAAAACCTGGAAGCGGATTTGTTTCTCTGCAGAGCTGCAGCAGATTTTGCACTCTCCAGTTTTAGTAAATAAACCCCTTAGAGCAGTGGTTCTCAACCTGTGAGTCACGACCCCTTTGGGGGTCAAACGACCCTTTCACAGGGGTCACCGAACACCATCGAAAACACATATTTCCGATGTGTAAAGAGCAGCTACTGTGTAGAAAGCAGCTGCTGTGTTGAAAGCAGCAGTATTGGAGGCAGGGATGGACTGACAACTCATGGGGCCCCCGGGGCAATAGGAGATCATGGGGCCCCTGTGTCCTTGCCCAAACTCAAAA